TTCGGCTCCTGTAAGGATTGAAAGCCTCAGAAACCCACAGAGGGAGTTCTACTCAAGCTCTGAAGGTTGTTATGAGTCAGAATGGGCAGTGAGTTTGAGGTTGGGGTTTTTGTTGTTTTGTTGTGGGTTTAGTATGATCAGCAAACTGGGGCTTGGTAGGAGTATCTCAGAAGAAAGGAGCACTGTTGGGGGGCAGAGCCCTGGAAGGAGCAGAGTAGAAGGAATGGCTGTCTGCTCAGTCAACCCGGCAAGTGGTTAGTCAGTCTTGTAGGAGCTGCTGTACTGGGGGTCATTCAGGGCCTCGGGGGGCAAAGGGTGGCCTGGGATTTGGGAAGAGGCCTTCTCCCTGCCCCTTCGGGGAGCCAGGTCCTAGTGCTCTTGTAACAGACATTGGGGTTCCCTGTGGGGACAAAAGAAAGCCTCCCTCCAGCAGCACTCACGCTGAAGCTGGCAGCCAGGGAAGCCCGGGCTAGAGGACTGTGACGGTGGCCTTAGGAGATGTCTAGGAATCCCGGAGGCCATTACAGAAACTTGGGTTATGGCTGTAAATGTGACTCGATTTGTATTCAAGGCCCTGCAGGACCCTTACCATTGGGCAAGTGTTTCCTCAACGCCTGCTTTGCACCAAGCGGGACACTCCCGGGCAATGCAAAGATTAAGAAAGAAAGAGCTTTCTGTCAAGCAACTTCCTCAAGCTTAGCCAGTGCGGCTCAGCTCACCCACTGGAGTGAGACCCTGGTGGAGCCAGCCTGGAGTGTCTGCCTCGTGGGTCCTCCGGGAAGCAGCATCACTTAGTGCCCAGAAGGGAAGGAGAGGCACTTTGAAGGTAGAATTGGCAAGGTGTAATGACTTACTGGATGGGGGAGTGAGCGAGGGGCAGGCAGAGGTGGCCCCGGTGGATAGTGGTGCCGTTGCCTGAGGTGGGTAATGTGCTCTCTGGGAGGGGCAGGCTGAGTGTAAGGGGTTGGAGGCCCAGCCAAATGGAGGTGCCCAATAGGCATGTGTGGTGAGGCATCGTCCAGTGGATGTTGACTCATAGTGACCCCATAGGACAGAGTACAGTAGCCCTGTAGAATTTTCTGCCAACCACAAGGTCAGCGGTTCAAAACCAGCAGCCACTTCTTGGGAGAAAGATGAGGCTTTCTATTTCTGAAAAACTCCATCTTGGAAACTCCCAGGGCCAGTTCTACCCTGTCCTGTGGGGTCCCTGTAAATGGGCATGGACTTGATGCAGTGAATTCGAGCCTGGCCGTCGTTGTGGAGTAGACTGACAGGTGTTCCTCCCGCAGAGCCACTGGAGAGGGGGTTCAAGCTGCTAACGTGCAGGCTTCACCGTGGAGTGCTTCACTGTTGTACCATCAGGGTTAACAGTTGTTCAGCTCAACTCTCTCACCGCCACTGAGTTGATTCTCTCTCAGAGACCCTCTAGGACAGGATAGCGCCGCCCCTTGTGGATTTCCAAAACTGTAACACTCTCAACAGGTGTAGAAAGCCGCGTTCTTCTCAGAACACCTGGTGGTTTCACACGCCTGGCTGGCGATCGACAGCCTAACGCACCCGCCACCCGCTCCAGGTTGTGGTCGTTGGGTACTTTCCAGTCAGTCCCCACTCATAGCGACCCTGTGTGCAACAGAATGAAGCCCGGCCCAGTCCCGCCCAGCCTCGCCAGTGCGAGATTTGAGCCCATTGTCAGCACTGCATCCATCCATCTTCTTGAGGGCAGATGCAGGTCTGAGTCAGGAGAAACACCAGATGTAAACATGAATGAGTCCACGCAAAGCGGGCGGTGGGGTGAAGAAGGGTTTTGAAGACTTGGTAAACTTTGCCATGTCGGGCAGCGACTGAAGACTAGACTAAGAGGAGGCATGGCAGCGAGAAGCATAGCACACGAGTTAGCTGAGGCAGTTTGGGCATCGGGGGACTTATGAGAGATGAGACCAATCTAAAGAGATACCCTGGACTCAGGCTGAGGACGTTCCGGCAGAGTTTGTGCACAAGTAATTCAGAAGGCAATGTGGAGTCATTGTCGGTTTGGGAGCAGAGGGACATGATAGAGGGTGTACACGTGGAAGTCATAAAGCACAAATATGGTTACAAAATCATAGAATCTTTTATCAAACAAAAACATGAAGCAATTCTTTCCCAGAAGGCCTCCATCTAGATCTACACATTTCTGAAGATGGTAGATTGGGCTTCCTCAGGGGATATTAACCATATTGAATTTGGGGGACAAAAGCCAGTTTGAGAGGGGCAAGCTCAGGGCTGTGGGGTGGATGGGGCAAGGTTTCCCGACAGCATGTGCACAGGACAGCCCCTGCTGCTCCAGAAGAATGAGCAGGTGTGTTGTCCTGACGGAGAAAGAAACCAGCTCTTCTTTCCTGGCCCTTGTCGTCCCAGTGAACTTTCGATTTTCTTAAAGCTGAACCCTCGTGAGCCCCTGTGATTGTCCCGTGTCCTTTCACTGCCATCATCTCCGGAGCGGCCCTTCGGCCTCAAATAGACCTGGGCCAGCAGCTCCCCGGGGAAAGGATTTTGGTTAGATTTTTGAAAGCACCCAAAAGAGACTAAGACAAGTGTCTACAGCCATGCACTCATCAGAGACATGCTTAAACATGTGTTGTTTGAAATAAGCCCACACATGTATGAGCCAGAACCCTACTAGCACTGCTTTTTATACACCGTTGGGGTTCAGTTTATGTATCAGCCGAAGGGGGATGGAACAGAGACCAGAAGAAAAACCGGAGCCAGGGGCCACTGTGTATGTATTCATCCCACAAACACCGAACAGCCTCTGTGCAGAAGCAATCCTGTCATCACCAATCAAGTCTGCTGAGGGCTTAGACGCTGAAGCACTCAGCATTCCTCTTGCAGGGCAAACCACAAAGTCCACAGGTTCTAGTCCATGTGCCTCTAGGCTTGAATGAGAAAGAGCAGGGCTTACCAAACATACTCAGAGGACAAGTTCTTCTTTTCCTTAAGTAAACAGATATTCTTCCAAGCATTTGAAACGACTGCTTAAAAAAGATCACAGAGACAACAGCCAAGCGTGCTCCGGGAGAGCCACAGAACATGATTGTGTGTCACAATGCGACAGCGTGAACTGTACGTGCAGCCGCACACTCGGGGGTCCAGGGAGTGTTGTTGGCGGGCAGGGGGAGCAAGCCTTAGAAGATGAACAGCCCCTTCTCTTTAATTACAAATGCACGGAACGAGATCCTGCAAGGAGACACACACGCTAATTACTCGAGGAGTAAGCCTGGGGACTTGAGAAGTTTCCCTTTGAGCATGCGAGCACACACGTGCGCACATGTGGAAGGACAAAGGAAAACAAGAAACGGGAGTGGGGCGAAGTCCTGGGATTCTTTGGCCTGCATTTTTCACGGACTTTGAAAGCTGTTGAGCGGGACGCAGGAGGTAGCTAATTCTTCTGGCAAGTGTGAGAATGTCCCCGCCCAGCTTTTCTCTTTGAAGGAGGCTGAAGGCGAGGGGCTGGTTCCGGTGCCACGCGTTACTCAGCACATCCCAATAGGCCGTCAGTCTCCTCCTCGTCTGCGCCAGCCCCGCAGCCCCACGCTCGTGTAACAGAGAAACTCTTTGATAAATGTCAACCGCAGTGGAGCAATCAGCTGAAAGTCATTTGCTGAGCTGTCTGACTGCCCTGGGCCCGAGGTTTTCCTTTCTTCATTTATCATGATATACAGCTTTGGCCAACATACACACAGGAGAGAAATTGTTGACATGTGGAACCCAAGTACAGAAAATCTTTCATTTTCTCCCCCGTCTGTTCACCAAATAAGTTTTTGTTTATTTAAAGACTACAGAGGATTTGGCTGTTAAGAACCAAATGCCTTTGGAGTGGAGTTACAACATAATTTATCATTTCCTCTGTTTATTAAAAAATCCTGCCTCTTTGAGAAGAACATTTGCCGCGAGTGGAGGAATTCTGACCGCTCATAAAAAAGACTGCTGCAGAGCCCCCACCATGTGGCTTACCCCCCCAAAAGGCTCAGCTCCTTGACTGCTATTTCCATCCCTGTCATTCCCAGAGCACTGGCTTCTGAGCCCGTGTTGGCCAAGGCCACGGGCACAAAGGCTGTGGAGTGGGGTTCAATGGAGGTCAGGTGAGCGAGGCAGATGACGTTACCTTCTTTCACCTTCCACCCAATTCTCCTCCTGAATCCTCCCTGGCTGCTTGGTACCACTTTGAACAGGAAGGGAAGTGCAGACAGACTTTACTAGGCTGGCCAGCCTTGGGGGAAGGGTCTGGGAGGCATCACACAGCAAAGACAAATGGATTCTGCCCAGAAGGAACTCACTCAGGTCCTGCTGCTGCCAAAGTGGGTTCCACTCTGAATGCAGGCAGCTGGCAAAGTCCGCCTGAACATCCCGTCCCCCCACCCCCACCTCACCCCCAAGCTATTATAAATAGTCACAAAGTACCCACGCCAGGGGGCACAGCAGTGACGGAGACCCAGCCAGTCCTCTGCTCATGACATCTTTATGAAGGTGGAAGGCTACCCTGGGAGAGCACATGCTCGACAATCAGACCTCAGTTTGAATCCCAGCTCTGCCTCTTGCTAGCTGTGTGACCCTGGGCAAGACAGGTCACCTCTCGGCAACACGAAATAGGCCATTTTTACCTGGCACCATTGTTTAATGGAATGAGGGAGAATGAAACATGGCGTCACTTACTGGGTTTTGATACTTTGGGCAAGTTAATATGGTCAAGCCTCAGTTTTCCTGTTTGTAAAGGGAGACAATACATGTCCTTCAAGTTTATTGTAGAGATAAAAAATAATAATAAAGCCTTGAATGATGCCTGGCTCGGGGTGGCTAAATTATGAATGAATAAATGAATGAGAAAATATTCAGGGATGGGGGAAAAAGAAAACAACAACTTAACCAGACATCTGTCCACCAACAACAGGCTGGCCTTGGGGACAGATATTTCATCGAAGTCGATGTTGAAGACAATGACAACAATAGACCATACCAGAAAGAAAGAGAAGCCAGAATCACCACATATATATTTAAGTGTCTACGCCATTCTAGGCACTATGCCAAGCTAGCAAAAAGCATGCATGGAGTTCAGGTGAAAGCAGTAGATGGTGTTGTGAGAGCCAAAAACCAGGGTCCAAGATGTCCCAGAGAGAGTGTTGCCTAAGCAGACACTGAAAGGCTACCAGGACTGGTTGGGTAAAGAGGAAGGAAAGAATGTTCCGGGCAAAGAAATTAGCAAGTATGAAGATGACCCAGAGGCAAAGAAGAGTACTGCCTTAGAGTCATCCATCCAGACCAATGCTACGCTTTCCTTTGTGGTTTTTCTTCTTTCCAATTTATTTAGAGTCTACTGCTTGGTGGAAATGGGCCTTCAACAAAGGTATTCAATCATGGGTGAAGGGCCATCTCCGCCCAAGCAGAGGTCAACTCAGAGACTGGAGCTGGCTGCTTGCTTGAAAAGGCGGCTTCTGAGATCAGGAGCAGATGGTACTAACCCTGCCAATGGTCCTGGTCCCTTGGCATGTTTCAGTCCAGGCAAATTCCACCTCCCACCCCCCTCTGAGGGCCAGCATGGCAACAAGTCCCGAGGGGCACAGGTGGGAAGGAGGAGAGTGGACTTCACAAGGACCACACTAAGGGGTGCCGGCTTCCGTGTGGACGAGTAGGGAGGACCTGGGCTCCGGAGTGCTGCTGGCCCGGGACTTTCATCCGAGGAGTTCCTTGGTCTTCACTGCCAGATGCCTCTCCACCTCGGCCACTGTGTCATCGGCCATCTGGCTGATCTGCAGAAACACAGGATGAGACCGCTAATAGAGAGGGAACAGGCACTGCAGAACGGTGGTCGGGTTATCTGAGAAATACGAGTAGTGACGAAAGTGCACATTAATCAAGCCCCGGTCAGCTATTTTACCAAAAAATTTACCCATGCGCATGCTTACTGATTCCTGCCAACATAATATTTACTATGATCTCTATTTTGCAGGTGACGAAACTAAGGAATGTGACCACTTGTCAAGAATTCACAAATAGAAAGTAGCAGTGACAAAATTTACACTTAGTTTGATTCCACAGCCCTAAACCTTTAACTATTATTATATAAAGCAGGCGCCGGCCGTATCCTTACCTTAAGGAGTTCCTAGAATTTTCTAAACCTTAGAAACTCTAACATAAAGTCCTCAGGCTAACTGATAAGGAAAATATTAAGATCCCAGTGTTGGCGTGGGTGGGGTAGGGGAGGGTGGGATGCTGAAAAACAATGAAGTTTATTGGAGTAACAAACATGAAAAATAAAAAGTGAAGAAATGAAATTAAAGATACAATCCAGTTATCACAGCAAAATTTGATGATGTGGTTTTTATTTATAATATCCATTGCCAGCACGCTATGATGAAAAGGATGAGCTCAGGTGTCATGGATAAGAATACAAATGGATGCAAAAGTTCATATGACTTACCCCAAAAATCTTACAAGTGGAAAATTACCCATAACAAGATTTGAAATTTTTTTCTTAAGTTCTATACACATCATGAAGGAGGGGGTCAGGGAGGGAGGAGAAAAAATAGGCTGATACCAAGGGCTCAAGTAGAAAGAAAATGTTTTGATAATGATGGTGGCAACAAATGAACAACTGTGCTTGACACAATGGATGGATGTATGGATTGTGATAAGAGATGTACGAGTCCCCAATAAAAAGATTTTTTCAAAGTTCTATACACAAAGATATTGATCCAACTTTATTTATAATAAAAATCATAAAAACTAAGTGTTTGTAATGGGGAAGTTGAGTAATATAGCCATTAAAAATGGTTAAAATTCATGATTTTTTGGGAGTAGGGTATAAATATGAAAACAGTTCATTATATATTTCTGAAATGTTTGAAAATTTTCTAGCAAGTGGGGGAAAAAAAGATGTTCCTTAACGTTTCAAGATTATACTACTTATAATAGTATCCTTTAAATGATCAAGTCACCATGCACATCAAAGAAAAAGCAGGATATAAAATTACAGCAGAAATGAGCTAAAATGCTTAAAAATGTATGTGCATATTTTTAAAGGACATAAACACGCCAAAGCACTACTTGTGGTTATCTCAGTGATGGGAATGTAGGTGATAAATTAGTCAGTCTGTATCTGTCACACCCAGCGTAAGACCTAGTATATAGCAAGTGCTCAGGGAACTTTTGAAATGTATGTTCCAAGTTTTTCTTTTCTATGCTTTCTGTGTTTTCCAAATTTTCTACAATAACTAAACACTCCAGCTAAGAATAAAAAAAACCAAAACAGTAGAATTTAGTAAGTGCTACGGCCCCCTTCTGTGTCTAAATGGGACGGCGGGGCAGGAAGCCCTGGCGGGGGAAAGCGTGGTGCCAAGCATTGCTGTGCTCAGCGGCTGTCTGACATCTTTCTTGGCAGGCAGGACTTGGAAAGGGCAGAAATGAAAAAGGACCAGGAGCAATTGGTCCCAGGCAGCAGGAGGCTCTTGCCATAGCAACAGCTGTGCATCTTTTATCAGTGAGAGCCAAGCGGCAGGGTGGAGGGAGGCACTGGGGAGAAGGGGCACTCTGGAAAGTGGCTGGCTTTGGGGGCACTAAGCCTGCACAAACCCTTGAGATGCCTTGTCCTCCGCAGCTGCCTTGCTTTGGGCATGGGGCCCAACAGCACTCCAGCACCTGTGGGCCAGCAGCCTAGGCCAGGGCAGCAATGAGGACTGCAAGCCTCCGAGAGAAAGCGAAAATAGACTTGAGAGCAGTTGGGGGGCAGAGATAGGAACTGGGTGTCGTTTGATAGTGGAGGTGCCGGGTTGGATTCTGAGTGCACGTCACTGCCCACTATGAGCTTCGGTTTCCTCATCTACCGGATGGAGATGCTGGGGATGGAACAAAATCAGAAACCTTTCAAACTGGCCATTTGCTATTGTGTTCCTGAGGTTTTTCTGATCACCTGCTGGCTTCTTTGTAAATTAATCCATCCATGCAGACATTTGCTAACGTTCTTTTCCATCTTTATCTGACCGGTTAGAGTGATGCTTAGAAGCAGCAGCAACCACCTCCCCTTATTGAGCACTTAACTACGTCCCTGACACGGGCTTGCCGACACCTGCTTTATCTCCAGGCATCCTCATCACACATGAAATACTGTGAGCATTTCTATTAGGGTCGAATACTAACACAAATAGTGTCTAAACTAAAAGTCTAATACTATTAGTGTCCCTTTTTAATAGATTGTAAGTACCAATTATTTTGCATGGCCAAAAAAAATCTACTGCTAAGGAGCAGAGCAGACTTTGACTCACAGCAACCCCATAGGACGGAGTAGACCTGCTAATGCTGCCATCTTTCTAGAAGCAGACTGCCTCGTCTTTGCTCTGTGGAGCAGCTGCTGGGTTCAAACACAGGCCTCTTGGTTCGCAGCCCAATGCTCAAGTCGCTGTGCCGGCAGGGCTTGGCAGCTGCAGAATATTTCACACTGAACAAAAATGTTTTGCCCTCTTAGTGCATTTACATTCAACCTCACATGACATTTCTAAAGGAGTTGGAGCACGACGTATCCCCATTTTACAGAGGAGTAAACCAAGGCACAGATGGTTAACTTGTCTGCCTCAGAGCATATGAACCGTCAGCGGCAGGCTGGGCGAAGAAGTAACTGCTCCTGACGGCCAGTCTGCTGCTCCTAGTCCCTTGCGGGGTCCACAGCAGCTGGCCTCCCCCTTCCTTGTTCTCATCAGGCTGTGTTCGGGTGTTTGCAGCTGTCACCGTCAGCCCATCTCCAGTCACAAGGTTGGCGGTGCAGTGAGATGGACAGAGAGAACACACAATTACAGGGGATCAGCAACCAGACTAGTCATTTTCAGCATGCTGTCTTTCATTTGATCCTGCTTACCAACCCTACGAAGTAGACACTACTGCTCCCCCGACAGAGGAAGCAACAGCAGGTCAGGAAGGTAAAGCAAAAGGCAAACACGCGGGCAGTGAATGTACAGATGCGCTTTACACAATTGATGTGTGTATGCATTGTGATAAGAGTTGTATGAGCCCCTAATAAAATGATTAGAAAGGAAAAAAAAAAGAGTTATGGTCTTGGAAACTCACAAGGGCAGTTCTATCGTGACATGGAGGGTTGCTAAGAGCTGGAATTTACTCTATATCTGTGGCACTTACATAATCTGTCAACTTGTGAAGGGGTGGAATCTAACCTGCCAATCAGGTCACAGCTTGATGACCTCATTTAGAGGCGCTAAGGAGATAAATAGCTCACTGGAGGCCAGATTCTCTCTCTCTCTGCTTCGTCTTCCTGCTGACAGCCGCATGGAGCTAGACTGACGCAGCCAGAGTCTTGGGGCTGGAGGCCCCATGTGGAGACCTCCACCAGCGCTAAGATGCTTCCACCACCACTGGATCCATAAGACTTTCCACCCACTATTCTGTGATAATCCTGCATTCAGCATCATGGCATGGTTGCATGAGTCTAAAGAGGAATTTATGGACTAGTATTGACATATGGGATAATATCGGACTTATGGACTTGATCTGGACTGGGCTGGGATGTTTTCTTTATGTACAATTACTCTGATATAAAGTTCTCTCTTATACAAAAACAAAAACAGGCGAACACGCTCAGATTCAAATCCAGGTCTGTGTGAATCCAGAGCAAGCGTGTATACCGTTAGAGCATGCTGCCTCATAAAGATGATGACGTAACAAGCACCATCTTCATCATCATCACATTGGCTCCTGGCAAGTACAGGAAAATGAAAGGCGGGCAGAGAAGGGGGATGGCAGTAAATACACAGGATTCTCCTGGGGCTGGTCTGAGTATAAGTCATCCTTCCTGGGGGCTGGCTCAGAAGGACCATGATGCTCCCACTCACTGCCTCCCCCAGCCCAGCCTCCTGTCTCGTCTGCTGACAGCTCTCTCCTCCCCACGAGCACCCAGCCTTCCTCATTTCCAAGCACTCCTTCTCAGAGAACTGTGGCAGTGAGAGGATCTTGGCCCAAGTTACCCATAGTTTGCCAAGTGTTTTATGTTCAGCCCGGCCCGCTTATGGCAAAGTACAGTACGGTGAGACAGCGGGCTGGCTGATGCAGAACCTCGAGCAGGAAGACCCTGTCCTCCTGCAGCAGAGCTGCCCTGGCCTGGGGCCTGGGCAGTTGGGTGGGAGAGATAGGGGTGGCCACCGGACAGGACCACAGAAATGGAAGCTATGACTGAGTCCTGCAGTTCTAACACCCCAGAGAAAGAGCCATTTTGTTAATAAAGCATTAACAAATCAGAACTCAACCCAGTTTTGGAAAATTTGAATATGAAGAAAACTTTAAAGAACATAAAATTAAAACGGTCCATAATCCTATCCCCTGGAGTAACCCCTATGGCTAGTTTGATGTGCACGAACTACCAAGGTTTGAGGGACTTGACAACTTGCCTTGCTGAAAATGAAATCATACATATAATACTGTTCTGTAACTTCCCTTTTAAAAAAATTACAAATAGAAAAATAATTTCACCATGTCAGCAAAATATTTTAATAACTATACACACCGATGCCATTGACTGGATTAAGAACAGCTCATTTCCCCACTGTTAGAAATTTAGTCTCCAGTTGGCTACGATTAATGACAACACGTCAAGTCCTTCTGAATCAATCTGTAAGCCACAGAAATGGATGAAGGGGCTTCATTTATAGAAAAATGGAAATTAAGAGAGGAGGAATTTTTTTTTCCAGCAAACTTTTTGGAGGCCCCTTGTATGGCTTTTGTCACCCACCCACTCAGCATGTGTCCTCTGGAAAGGTGGCAGGGATTTGCACAAAGGATAGTTGAACTTCTCTGTGGAATGTGGAAGTAAAAGCAATCACTTCTAAGATAAGCAACATTTTAAGCTCATTAAAATTCTAGGCACAAGTGTTAGTTAAGAAAGGCAGAAAAAATAGTTTTAAGTACACATATCTAGAAACCCTGCAAATGTTTACAGCCATATCGCCCTGAACGTGCCCAATCTCGTCTGATCTTGGAAGCTAAGGAGGGTTGGGCCTGGTTAGTACTTGGATGGGAGAAACCCTGCAAGTGATCTAGGACATTCATAATAGACTAAGCCCCTTAAAAATATATAGTCCCTTTGTGCAGTCATTCTACACATGGGACACTAACCCAAGGAGATCATGCAAAAATATTCGCTGCAACCTTGTTTATAATAACAAGCTAATTAAAAACCTAAATGTCCAGTGAGAGGGTTTATGAAAGTAAATTACGCTATAACCACAAGGCGGGCTCTTTTGCAGTCATTAAGAATGGTTATTTTCAAGAGGCTTGTAGAGACACAAGAACATGCTAATGGTTTTAATGCTAAGCAGAAAGGGAAACGCTAGACACAGACACTGTCTGTATAGGTTTGGAACCATTGAAAATGATGACAGATTTAAAATGCCAGCAGCAGTTGCTCCTGGAATGCGGGCTATGTGGTGCATCTCCCCCGTTTCAAAAAAACTGTCTCTGTATTCTCTAAGTTGCCTACAATCAGCACACATTCCTTTGATAATCAGGAACAAAGTAAACAAATAAAATTTTAAGCCATTTGATGAAGAAGCCATCAACCTCTGCCTCCTCTACGCACAACAACACCCCCCTGCAGACCGGTGCCTTCTGCGGGTAGGTGGGGGAGGGAACCAAACAAAATCAGGTGTCTCTTGAAAATTTTCTTACCAGCACTTGTAAGTAGATGACCATACATGAATTACTATGAATAGTGAGAACTAACATGTAAGTAATCATATTTTAAATATTAAAGGTCATCGCACTGGAAAAGATATCCATGGAGTATCCAAGTATCATGGCATATGTGTAATATTTTCTTTCGAACCACTGCATGTGTGTACGGCAAACTGGAAATTTCAAGTGATAATGACTTTCTTCATTCTTAAAAAAAAAAAGAAGAAAATTTATAGTAGACATGTATTGGCTTCATATCAAATATAAAGCTATCTTCATTTTGAAAAAAACCATATTTGACAGTCAGACTCACTAAAGACGACAAATCTAATCTGAAGATGGTAAATCACCAGTGCTAAGGCTTGAAGGCCTCCAGCAGTCTTTTCCAGACTTTTATCAAGACAGCAGGTTGGGTGGGGAGGGGCTTGGCTTATCTGATCATTCTTCCCTTTTCAAGGAGTGGGAGGCACTAGCCTGGAGGCAGGTAGACACCCCAACCTTCTGAGTGAAGGGGACCTGAGGCTCAGGAGTCCACAGGCTTACAACCTGGAAGCAAAACAAGGCAAATGCCAACTGCAGAGATGGAATCCTCTAGAGAGCAGGGAAGGCCGGGGAAAGAAAAGCGCAGAAAGATGCTGTGAGAATCTCGTTATCAGGCACTCTTAACGGTGCTTTCCAGCCCCCCAGCCCCCACCCCACCAGCCCAGCAACCCTTCAAGGCAGGAATTATTAACTCCTTTTCTACCGAAGAAGAAATAGACCCTCCAGAGCCAGGTAGCTTTCCCACGGACACAGTGCGCTTAGAATAAGGTGACCAGAAGTCCCACTTTTGGCGGGACAGTCCCAATTTTTAATAATTTGTCTTGCGTCCCGCGGCGTTTTAAAAAAGTCCCGATTTTTGGAAAGAATGCACAACAAGTTAGGGCATACGGTTTTCGGCTGCCATGTGGCTATTTCGCCGGGAAGTGAGTTTTATGAATGGTGTCTCGCTGGTGTCCTGCTTTACCAATGTTAAAATCTGGTCACCTTAGCTTAGAATCAAGTAGATGGAAACCTCTTTGTAACTCTGGTGTAAACTGACAGCTTCTGGGTCATTATCTTCTCCATCTGCTGTTAAAGAATCACCTGAGGAGGGTTTATAAAAGACCCATTCCTGGGGTCCTGGCAGACTACTGAATCAGAAAATGCAGGAGTAGGGCCCAGGAATCGACCTCAAATACTGGGGTGTTTGTTTTCTTGGGTATTCTTTCTTCTCTGGCCTCATCCTCGGTTCAAGCCACAATGATCTAACTGAACAATGGCCTTTTACATCAGCATGCCTTTGCGTGGGCTGTTCTACCACTATGAAGTAATCATGTCTGTGCCCAGAAAACCCATGACAGACTGGAGAGCACAGAATACTGGTGCTGAAATCAGTCGGCCCCATTTCTACCACTTACCAGTGGCGTTACTTTGGGCAAGTTGCTTTGGGCCTCAGTTTCCTCACTACCTATCTCACAGCTTTGTACTAACAAGAGTAAATGAAATCATGCAGTGTCTAGTACAGAGCCTGTTACGTAGTTCAACAGCATCCCATCCTCCTCCAGAAACCCCAGGGTCTAGCAGAGAGCCAGGCCCAGAAAGGGACTCAGTCCACGTTGATTATGTGAATGAAGTGGGTCTTCTGGCACCCTGGTGGTGTAGTGGGGTCATATCGGGCTGCTAACCACAAGGTCAGCAGTTCAAAACTACCAGCTACCCTGGGGGAGAAAGATGACGCTTTCTACTACTGTAAATAGTGACAGTCTCAGAAACCCACAGGGACGGCTCTACCCTGTGTTGCTATGAGTTCGAACTGACTCGATGGCAGTGAGTTGGAGGTTTGGTTTTCAGATAAGCTATTCGATAGGTCAGATACATCAACCCAACACTCCATCTGTTGGCAATCGTACCTGTTTCTCTATGAGCCTAATGGTGTCCTCTGAGGCTTTGTCCTTCGATTTCTTGAGCTTATTCATTGCGCTGGTGCGAACCTTCCTTAAGGAGTCTTTGGCCTTGTTGGTGCTCTGCTTGGCCAGTTTCACCAGCATTTCCCTGTGTTCCCTGGTTACTCTGATAAAAGACAAAAAAAGTGCGTTCAATACGATCAACCTGCACACAAACCACTGGCAAGGAATGTAACACCATTCTGTCTACCCACTCAGCATTCTGGATGTGTGCCCACAGGTATGCTCCCAGGGTCAAGTACAGATGCTTCGCGTGAACCAGTGAAAATACTGCTTACAAAGCATGAGCCAGCTTAGGTCGACCTGGGTCAGATCGTAGCCTTGCCACACACGAGCTACATAACTGACTTTCTTTCCAGGCCGCAGGCTTCCCATTGTCTAGTGGGGATTGTCAGTCCCTGTCCGACGGGAGTGATGTGAGGATTAAGCACAATGATGCAACCGACTTGGTTCTCATTCATCCTGACACATTTCTACTGTTCAACCCAAGGAGGCAATTCTACAGCATCATCTACAAAGCATCCAACACCAATATTAGCAACCTGCAGATCTCAAGGGCTGTTACCACAGATTACTGGTGAATCACTTCAACAGCCACCATACAACGTGAATCCCAGAATCACATGTGAGACCCAGTACACCAGATAACTCCCACAATGTCCCCTCCCTAGTATTTGGCATGTTGTAAATGCTTAATAAATCACACTTATGTTTTCAATGAGCACCCTTTTCACGATAAGAGTAAGCATATTGAGGGTGTGCTAGAACGAAATGCACAGGCACTCGGTGTGCGCCTCCTGACAACAGCCCTACAAGGCACTCGCTTGCAGGCAGTCACCACAAGCCAGCAACACAGCCTCCCCTAGCTGCCTTGGTGTCTCTCATTCTTCTTTGACAAACGGAGTCCCCACTAGATACCCAGGCCAGCAGAGGGCCCTGGGGGCCCTCCCAGGAGCTGGGGAGAGTGGCAAAGAGACAGTTGCCTCTTGAGGGTGAAAAGTGCTGCAGGGAGCAGGAGGAAAGTGGGGGAGCAGGAGGGGTCTCTGAACAGAAGGAAGGCACTGGGTTCCGAGTTTGGGAAGGAGCAGTATAGGAAGACCTCCTTGAAAGGGGCATCTAGATGTGGCAGTCCCGAGGGCTGCTCGCGCCTAGTCTGTCTCTTACTCCGGCTCTGTAGTTAGATGTGCCTCAGGGGCAGTAGCCTTAAAGCCAGGCTGTGCTCCATCGCACTTGCTTCCATCAGTCTCAGTACAAGTTGAAGTGGGGTGTCTATCACCTTGGGTCCTGGCATGACTCTGATGAACAGTGCCCACCATGCAGCATGAACAAGAAATGAACTCTTGTTGTTATACCACACGGGGATTTAAGGGTTTGTTTGTTCCTGCGACACAGCCCATTCTATCCTGACAAATACACCATGCTAGCGCCTGGAGAATGAATGAACGCTGTCATTCAACTGGCAAGTTGTCGTTCTGGACGGGGATTCCAGGAAAAGGAAAGTGCGTATACAAAGGCTTATGTCACAGAGATGCCATGTTTCATTTGAAGAATTGGTTGGAGCACAGATGGCAAAGGAGAGCTGACAAGCAAAGGAGTTGGGAGGTTTGATAGGGAAGCCCATTTTACAGAAGAAATGAGGCCCAGAGGGGAAGTCCAGCATTGAATACAATGTCAAACCATCTCAAAATCCACTGATCCTCTTGTGACAAAAATGCCTCTGTCCCTTGGGTCCTGAGATGGCTATCATTGCTGTAGGGTTCCCGAGCCTCAAATCTCCTCAGTAGGTAGGGAAAGTTGGAAAGGTGGTACATTGGACTATTAATCTTAAGGCTGGCAATTTGAGCCCACCCAGTTGTGACACAGAAGAAAGGCCTGGTAATCTAGACAATTACAGCCATGAAAACCCCGAGAAGAGATCTCTTCAATAGCACTGGGTTTGGTTTTAAGGTGGACATCTTAAGCTATGAGCTACCTGACAGGTCCTCACAGCCACTCTTCAAACCAGAGTCCAATGCCCCCATTTTCAAATGAGAAAATGGAGGCTCTCGTGTGTTAAGTGGCCTGCCCACAGGATTGAGTGGCAGCTCTGGGATTCAACCCCAGATCTTTCTGGCCTGTACTTTCTCCACTAACTCCATGCTGCCTACCCCTTGTAATCTATTTCACATAAATCATGTACTGCTGCCATGACTTCTGCTTCCAGGCAGAAAGCTTCTCAAAGTCAGTAATATGAATCTTGGGACTAAAAAGGACAAAACCACCATGTCAGGAGTTTAGGGATTTGGATCAGATCTTGTTACTTTTATGGTTTTTAATTCATTGAACAAAAATCATGCTGACATGTTTAGGTCTCTTTTTTGTTCTGCCAAAGCGTATGTCAGTATAAGGAAGGAACAGGAAAATTAAAACTTGATCCACTGATTCAAAAACTTAATCCTGCTGAAATACTAGGAGGGCAGAAAATAAATGGCTCTAAGACTGGAAGAAACCTCTTAAACTCCTCTAACAAGACCTTATTGAAGTATTTTAATCTTGTATATCATATATAATTTAAAATCAGTACCCTACTGTTTAGACCATCTTTAATAAAAAAAAGAATCTAACCAACTTCCTTTTCACTACATGACTATATTTATATTTTAAATGGAAAGGAAAACTAAAAACTGTGCCTTTTAAATATAAACTGAAACAAAGAAAACAAAACCATAACATCTGCAATTTTGCCTTTAAAAATGCATTGTTTTATATTTACTAATACAAATGTAGAACCACATACTATTAACACTAGAAAGTATTCATATAAAATAATGTCCTAGTATCATGGACATTAACAAAAGTATTATCACTTCAGGAAACAAATACTGGTGCAATAGTCAAAAAGGCACTGTAAGGAGGTTTCGGTGAGGAGGGAGGGAGAGAGGGAGAGGGAGGAGGGGGAGGGGTGCTGGGCACAGGAAAGATAGAAATAGAGGCAGATGTGTGCCGATTTGAGGCGGGGGAGGTGTTGAACTGACTGGTGTCTAAAATACGGATCAGAAGTGCTGTTGGCTGATGCAGAGGCACCAGCTTTCCAGAAAGAAAGACCTGCTTGATTCTGACATTACTGCTGAGAACCCTTGGCAAGCTACTTCATTTCTCTGAACCTCAGTTTCCTTGCCTGTGAAATGAAGATACTGACGGAGGACACCGCACAGAGTCATGGGGAGAAGTAGACAAAACTCTACATAAAGTACCAATAAAGAGAGCAGCACATAGTAGCCTTGAATAAATGATTGCATTTATAAATGTTTTAATCAAACACACTTAATTACTTCCTTATGAAACAACAAGGGCACATCTGTTTTAGAAAAGAACCCTACTATATTATGGAAATATTTTAATTCCTTTCCAAACCAGTGATTAATACATCTGATCATCCCCATCCCGCATTCGTGTGATGCTGTGAGGGCAAGCTCCAGTCTGCGTTTTAGACTCCACGCTCAGTCAGTTGGTTCTGGGATCCCCCTCCGCTCTAATCAAGCACTGGCTGAGCCCCCTGTACGCTGGGCCCTCTCCCGGGCCAGGCTGAGGAGCTCCAGAGAGGTGGGCCTGGCCCACCTTCTCCAGAGGCTCATTCCAGTGGTGGAAACAAGCTTGTCGACCACTACTTTGAAGGAGTACGACTGCTGCGAGGGCAGAGGGGCAGGCCTTTTGCGGCAAGGGCATGCAGAAAGTATGACTCACTCTGTCCTGAGAACTGGAGAACGTTCTTTAGAGATACACAGCAGCTGCAGAAGAGGTCTTACAGGTTGAATTGAGTCTCCCAGGAAAAGGAAAAAAAACAACAACAAAGCGTGCCAAGTAGCCTCACCTCTATGCTTGTGTTATAATAATGAGACAGAATTGGTGTAGGGGGTCTCTTGAGTGAATCTTTTTTATTTATTAAATAATCATTTTATTAGGGGCTCATACAATTCATCACAATCTGTACATACGTCATTTGTGTCCAGCACATTAGTACATATGTTCACTTCATCATTCTCACAACACCCGCTTTCCACTTGAGGCCTTGGTGCCAGCTCATTTTTTCTCCTCCCTCCCTGCTCCCCCCTCCCCCTGAACCCTTGATAATTTATAAATTATTATTATTTTATCATATCTTACCCAATCCAACGTCTCCCTCACCCACTTCTCGGCTGTCCATCCCCCAGGGAGGAGGCCTAAAGAGAATAAGCAAGGAAGCTATCAAGAAGAGATGGGAGAAGTCTGATACCAAGCCACAAGGGGATCTAAAAGAAACCAGGAAATGAAGCTGAAGAGGCAAGGACCTTCCCGTTCCAGAGAGAGCACTCCTTGCCCGAGAGCCTGTGACCTGAAGGAAATGAAGAGAGCTCCAAAGAAACTCTCCCTCACCATAGAGAATCCATATGGCCTCAGTAACAAATGTAGCCAGAAATGTTCAATGTGCCTCTAGTCAGGCTTTAAAAGAAAAGGATGAACATGAATTGGACAGTGGTGGAAGGGTAATGACTTTTAGCAGTGGCAAAGAACCTGTCTTAATTATGTTCAAATGTTTGATGGAGATAGAATTTGTAAGTGATACATTTGGATACCTAGCTGATGATAATTCTGAGCAACATCATACAGGGCTTGCCTGATTTCCGCTTGCTGCTTATAGTAAAATACACACGAAAGGAGATGAACTTAAAAATGAACTGTACAAAAAAGCAAGTAGAGCTTTAAAAGTCTGAAAAATTATGTTGCACAAGTTAAAAACAAGTTCCTAGACCCTTGGTTCATCAAGGATATGCCTATGCAATCTTTTGTTCAAGGAATTAAACCTGTACCTGATGGATCTAACCAACTACCACCATGTAAAACTTCATCAGTCAGCTTGGACTGAAGGAGACAGAGAGAGGTTGACAGGAAAGAATGCTATCGATCTCTTGCAATTCGATAGCCAGGTAACAGGCCCAAGGAGCCATACCTATACTCCCCTGAGAAAAAAAAAAGCCCACCCCTGGACCAGCTCAGAGATCAGCAGAACTGTTGGAAGGAGCAATAGAAGCAGGACCTTCTGGGTTTCAAAGGGTGGGGGCTCCAGTGTCCTGGATCTCAAAAGGTGGG